ATGTTTTTTTATTTTATTATTTTTTAATGATAGCTGTGTACATTAGTGCAATCATGGGGTACAGTGTGGTGTTTTCATATACAATTTCAAATATTTTCATCAAACTGGTTAACATAGCCTTTCTGTCATTTTCTTAGTTATTTGTGTTAAGACGATTATCTTGAACTCTTAGAAAGATTCACTTGCACCCTTGTAAGATAAACCACAGAAGTGGGAGAAAAAGTATCCAGTGTACACAGCCCTATTGTAAAACTAATTTCTGACTAACCTAATTATAGCCTAAGAAACTGTTTTTATAATGGAACTTATTCCTCCTTACAGTCATACTGGTATGTGTGTTTTGCCGTTGCCACGTGTTTTCTGTTTTCCCGACATTTATGCATTTCTTACTTTGCTTCCCCCGTCTTTGCTATATGAATTGTGCCTTCTGTAGTTATCTTCAACTTTGCTGAGGATGGTGTACGTTCTGTTTTTGCTTCTATAGTTGGTGATGTATATGTTTTCTGAAAGTCATTCTGTAATCTAGATTTCCATGATCATTAAAGGCTCAGTGAAACAGTACTTGTAGAATTTTTCTCTACTTCCTTTGAACTTTGCAAATTCTTCCTTTTACTTCCTACTCCCTTCTACTTGCTCCCCCTTCTTAGCCTCTGTTAAATAACACGAGCTTTTGTGTTAACATTGTTATTAAAGCATTATTTTCACATATCTTGTAACAGGTGTTTTTTTTTTTTAAAACCTTTGTCTTTAAAAGTTTTCGTATTTACATTTAACCTTAAGTTTTCCTGTTCTAGTCACTAGGAACTACTGGCCCATTCTCTATAAAGTAGTATAGAACTAAGTGAGAAAAACTAAATCAATGATACAGAAATAACTTGGAAGAGCTCTTCCTGAATTTAAAGGAAAGTGACAGAAAAATAAATAAAATGATACTTTTAGAAGATGATAGCAGAAGAATTAAAAAGTCAGTTAGAGACCAGGCACAGTCTCACTCTTATAATCCTAGCACACTGGGAGGCTGAAGGGGGGAGGATCACTTGAGGCCAGGAGTTCAAGACCAGCCTGAGCAAGAGTGAGACCCCCATCTCCACCAAAAAATAGAAAAATTAGCAAGGGATTGCGGCATGTACCGGTAGTCTCCAGTACTTGGGAGGCTGACGCAGGAGAATGGCTTACACCCAGGAGTTTGAGGTTGCAGTAAGCTGTGGTGATGACACTACACTCTAGCTCAGGGGGCAGAGTAAAACCCTGTATCAGAAAGAAAACAAAACACATTAGAACAGAAACAGTAATTACATATGGAAATAAAAATGTTCAGAGTCAAACTGAATCCCCAAAAATAGCATGGGTAAATTTAATTAGATACAGAATTAGACCCCCCAAAATTAAATTCTAGATATTAATAGTATTATAATGATTAAATTAAGTCACATCTGTAACATCTATAAGGGAATTAACACAGACCCTCGCACAAATTTAAATGTTTAATGATAAATAATGTTGTCATTGTGAACAGTGTCCTCCTTGATATCATCATTATTTCTATTTTCCTTGAACTTTAGCGTTTCCCTCAGAAATTTTTTTTTAATTAAATCATAGCTGTGTACATTAATACAGTCATGGAGTACAGTGTGCTGTTTTTATATACAATTTGAAATATTTTCATCAACTGGTTAACATAGCCTTCATGTCATTTTCTTAGTTATTGTGTTGAGACAGTTATATTCTACATTTAGAAAGATTCACATGTACCCTTATAGGATGAACCAAAGGCGTGATCCCACCAATCACCCTCCCTCTACCCATCCTCCCCCTTCCCCTCCCCTCCCTCTCCCCTTTCCCCATATTCTATACTTTCTTCCATTTTTCAAGAGATTAAGCATTTTTCCAGACAATGTTCTTATACCTGCAAAATTTCAAAGAGGAAACATTTCTCATAGATTCCTGGTTGTTTTGATTTGTTTACTCATTTTCAACAGAAGGAAAATTCATACTTATATTTGCTAGGAATTCGGATATGGAATTTCCCTTTGACCTTGTTCCCTCTTTATTTGAGGAAGAATTTGATGTGCTTAGACCTTAGTCTAGTTTTTTATTCTCCAGGCATTTGTCCTGTTTACTTACACACACGCACACACACATACCAGACTCTGTTCTGAGTCATCCATTTTCATGCTGAGGCCTGCAAGGCTTATGGTATGATCTGGTCCCCAGCCACCCCTCAGCCCACATCACCACCACTTCCTCCCTTACTTACCGCTGTGGCTGCAGTGTTCTCCTTTCCTTCATCCTAGACATGGTGTCACCTCAGCATCTTAGGACTTTTCCTTAGAGGGCAGCATGGATTGTTCTCTCTCTGTCTCTAATTTTCTTACTCGGATGTCATCTTATCTGTGACACCTTGTTTACCCATCTTGTATAAAATTGCTCTTTATCCCTCTTCCTAGGAGATTATGTCTTTCCTTAGTCTTAATATGTTGTGTTTTTCCTTGTGTCTTTTTCCCCATTACTATCTAAGTTCCGTGAGCAGTGAGAGCTTTGCTTACTGCTCCTTCCCCAGCTAGAATAATAGGTGCTGTCAGCAGTGGAATGTTTGCTGAATGAATGGAGTGAAAGGTACGTAATTCAGCTCTCTTACAGAAAGGTAGGTTTGCCTCCCTCTTGAGTCTGGTTCTCTGTATCAGACTCAAGAGATTAAAAAAAAAAATGCCCTTCCCTAACACTCACCACTATCAGAGATTTTCTTTTGATCTTCATTTATTCGTTGTACAAATATTTAGTCAACTGCATAGCTGTGCCCGCGCTGGGTCCAGGGATGACTGTGATGAGTACAAGGAAGACCTTTGCCCTCATCAAGCTCAGTTGATGTTTTCTGTGGCCCTTACTTGCCTCTTCTGCCCTCTGCAGCTGAAACACCGAGGCTGTCTTTCCTTTTGACCATCTCCTCTCCATAGTGTCTGTTTTTACTGGCTGGCTCTTGGCTTCATAGCCAATAATAAATACAGTTGAAGGAAGTTCATTTGATACACTGAAGGACTTGTATGTGCCTAATATGGAAGATGATGATACAGCAATGGCCCTGCCCTTACACTGGCAAAAAGTTATAGCTTTCCAGCTAGGTGGATTGTCTCTGCATTAGTCCCATGATGCTATGGAGGAAGGGTCCAGAAAGTTGAGGATTGACATTACACATTCTCTGGTGCTTCTTATCACAAGAACAATTGTTTTTGTTCTGTTCTGTTTTGTCTCGTCTCCAGGTGGCACAGGCGTACTGTGGTGGCTTTATGCAAAGCAAAGAAGGTCTCCCAAAGAAACAGTTATTCCTGAACAGCTTCAGATAGCTGAAGACAATCTCCGGGCACTCCTCATCTATGCCATCTCAGCCACGGTGTTCACGGTGAGGGCAAGCTTATTTATGTGTATCTTTCAGTTTTGTGTGGTTATCTACAGATCATGAATGGAGCAGAAACTCATTTCTACCTTTTATTTTTCTTTTCTTTTTTTGAGACACAGTCTTAATATGTTGCCCTCGGCAGAGTGCTATGGTGTCACAGCTCACAGCAACCTCCAACTCCTGGGCTTAAGCGATTCTCTTGCCTCAGCCTCCCAAGTAGCTGGGACTACAGGTGCC